GTTTGAAATAAATAACTTTTTTTTTTCTCTATCAGACCAGACCACCTTTTTGAGTCCTCTCCAGATAGATAGGCAACATTTGCTTCCAAAAATGACAAGGCCCAGGTAGTTGAGTTTTAGACAATAGCCAGGCACTTGCTAATTCTATGCATCCTGAGAGATGCTCCACTACCCAAGAACGACTGGTACATCAGGTGCATACATTTGTGCGTAGTCACACATTTGACAAGCATTTACTGAGCACCTACTTTGTACTAGGCACTGTCTAAGTACTGGGGATACAGGTCAAGTTCTTTTCTTGCTAAAATAGTCAACCATATACAAGACAGACAAGTGTCCCTATTCTCAAAAGTAAACAAATAAAAATAATTTCAGATGCTAAGTGCTATGAAGAAAATAATAAAGTATAATATAATAGAGTATATTTGAGGATGGGGCAAGGGGTCAAAAGCTAGGGCAGGCATGAATGCTGACATCCTGGGAGGAAGGAAAGAGACAATACGCAAACAAGTAAAACTATGTGCCAAGTGGTAAGATGCACTATAGTGAAAATAAAGCAGGAAGCGGTGGAGCAATGATGTGAAGGGTATTAAGAAGTGGGTTAATATAGGAAGATCTAGGAAGTCATATATTCAAGCCTTGTGAGGCTTTCGTTATGGGGACAAGGAAAGGGAAGGAGTCAAGGATATCCCCTCTATTTCCGGTTTGTGCAATGGATGGAGGTGTCATTTACCAAGAGAGAGGACAGTGTAGGAAAAGCAAATTTGTGCAGAGAGAAGGTCCTGAGTTTGGTTCTGAACATCCCTCTGTGATGTTCAAATATGAGTAATGATACTAAGTAGATGATGTACATAACACCATATAGATGGGAACTGAAGTTTTGGGTATTGTTATGGACTGAATGTTTTCTGTCCCCTTCAAAATTTGTGTGTTGAAATACTAACCCCCAAAGTGATGGTATTAGGAGGTGGTGCCTTTGGGGGGGTGATTAGATCATGAGGGTGGAGCCCTCACGAATGGGGCTAGTGCCCTTAGAAAAAAAAAAGCCCACAGAGCTAGTGCTCTCACCGCTTTCCACCATGTGAGGGCACAGCAAGAAGATGGCCATTTGTGAACTGGGAATTAGGCTCTCACCAGTCACTGACTCTGCCAGCACCTTGATCTTGGACTTCCCAGCCTCCAGAACTGTGAGAAATAAATGTTTGTTGTCTAACCCACCCAGTCTATGGTATTTTTGTTAACAGCAGCCCAGATGGTCTAAGACAAAAATGAATGAGGATTCTTAAAAACCTGAAGGTCCATAGTGCAGGGTGCTAATGGCAGCTCTCTGAATTCGTCCACGTCCCAGGTTCCTTCCATCTTTTTTGCTCCGCCATTTTTAGAATGCAGCCCTTGTCACATGGCCCAAGATGGCTGCAGGAGCTCCAGCCAGTACGTCTGGCCAGACAGGAAGCATCCTAGTGTTTCTTTTCTGATATTAGTCTGCTCTGAGACCTTGGGAAACTCATCTCGCCTCCCTGGACCTGTTTTCCCATCTGATCTGTCATGTTCCTTGTTGCTCTAACATGTCCTAACTCTGTCAGAATTGGGGTGTAGTAGCTTCCACCCAAAGCCAAAAGTCTGGGGCACAGCCATACAGGGTATTTATTGACTTGACTGAGAAACTGACCTTTAAATATTCCATTTTCACATTGGTGCTTTGGATAGGAGCTCTCCGGAGAACTCTATGGGTAATTGCTTTTGCCTCTGCTTTAGAAGGGACTGACTTTGATGCAATGCTGTTCTCATCTGCAGGTCTAATTTAGCTCTTTTGTCTGTATTAAACTCACTGGGATGTATCCTTTGTGTGGCGCCAAACGCATCACATGGCTGGCCATTTCTAGCTGAATTTAGACCTGCCCTTTCAGCTAAGGATCCTGGGATGCTCTCACGGCCGGGGTTGGACAAGCTGCCTTCCAACTCCCTCAGGATCTTCTCTCTGGGAGCTGCGAGTAATGTGGACCAGCCACTGGGTGTCAGCATTGCTTTGTCCAATTATAAGGCAAAAAAGATTTGTGTGGTTTGGGAGTTGTTTATGCAGTAAGTTTGGGGCTCTGAAGTGGGCACAAGCACAGTTACATTTTTACGGCTCTTAGCATTAACCAAAGAAGTTCACGCCTCTGTCTTTACATCTAGACTCCCTCTACTCATTTGAGCCCCTCTGTGTCCCTTGCCTAGATTACTGAAACAGTCCCCATTGCCAGTTTTGTGTCCCTCAAGTCTATCTTTCTTCATTTGGTTACAATCAGGACTATAACAGGCTCAATTACAGAATAACAAGCCCCCTGTCACTAGAAGTTTGCAAAGAGAAGCTACAAAACCACCTAGCAGACGTGTGTCTGTGTGTGTATCTTATAAACACATGTGTACATGTGTATACACCTACGTCTCTTCCTGGCCTGAGAACCTTCACTAACTCCCTATTGTCCATAACAGAAAATCCTGAACTGTCTAGCTTTGCAAACAGAGCTGTCTACTACCCGGCTGCCTGCAACCATCCCCTCAGCCTCATCTCCTGTCTCAAACAGAGCGCTTCAGTAAGAGTGGACAAAGGGAATTTGACACACTCCGTGTCTCTGCCCATCCTGCTTACCAGGGAAACGTCCTGTCCTCCTTCCGGAGCGAGCCTCCCCTGGAAGCGTGGAGGAGCCCTGCCCCAGTGCCCACTCCCCAGCCTAAGCTCAGTGCCCTTTCTGTGAAAACCCAGGGCACTGGGACTAACTGGACAATTTACCCCAGTGTGTCCAAGTCTCTGTAAAGTGTCTCTCACCAACTAGATTAGGAACTGCTTGAAAACAAGGACTTTTCATCTTTGTGTCTCTGGCTTCTGTCATGTGTCAAGCTGGTTGTTGACAGTTAATAATATTTATTTAACCAAACGCAATGGAACCTATGTGGTTATTAAGCTTATTTTGCTGGATCTGCTATGTCTCTTAATGCACCCCCTGTTCACCATCCCAATTGCAGTGATCCTGGTTGAGAGTTTTCCAAACTTGTCACTTCCTTTGCTTGGTGATTTTTGCCATACCTGGGTATCACACGGGCTAGTTTTTTAAAAAGGCTTTTTCTTTACACTTTTTCTTTATATTTGTCTCAAGTAAATTAGTTTTAAAATAAAACTTTATATTACTACCATAATCAAAAACTTATATCACTTGCCACAAATAGATAGTTTAAGAAAATACAGTGAAAAGCATGCTATTTAATTCTAGCTAGACAACCTTGCCGCTCTAGTAGACACACTGAGACCATTCATGAGTCTTCCATCCCTTTCTGTATCCAGGCCTCTTTGACACATGACTTTGAGTTCCTCTCACTAAATAGACAGAGCCCATTTCTCCATCCCTTGATTCTGAATTCAGCCATAGAACTTGTTCTCGCCAATGCTGTGCTAGTGGATTTGACACTTGCACAGGCATGAAAAGCTCTTACCTGGGATCGCTCCTCTGCAGTGAGAAGGTGCCCAGGCTCGCCCGATGGAAGGATGTAAGAAATACATGAAGTGGAGCCCACTTACCCAGGCCAAGTCAGCTGAGACTTACTAAACTTGAGAGCAAATCCAGTCCAAGCCCAAAGGAATCACTGGCCTTAATAGCTGACTTCAGACTCCCAAGCTAAATAAAGGTTTATTGTTGAAAGGCATGGAGATGCTGTTGAATGTATGCTACATACTCATACATTAACATAGCAATGGATAATGAATATACTTGCCAAGGCTCTGGACCTGAAGTGTTTTCTCTTTGTTAAAAAGGTAGATTACAAAGTGTTGGAGAGGTGTTAAAATACTAGCTCCCCACTGAGAATGTCTCTTCAATATAATCAGACGGATTGACATACCACTGAAAAGGGAATAATAATTGCCTCGCTTAATAATTCCATGTAATTCGCCATAGTTTAGACCTAAAATTATCTCTGTGCCTTTCCCACACTTTGAGATACATTACCCTAGCTAGCTCTTGCCCTTTCTATCTTTCTTGCCCTTTCTGGTCCAAAATGGTCTTGGGCACATTGCTAAAAACTATAGTCCAAACATGATTCAAATTCCAAGTACCCCAAGATCTGGTCCCAGCCCTGCCCCTCCAGGCTCGCTCCCACTACTTCTGCTCTTCATATAACTAGTACAACCACCCAACTCGTTCAGCGCTTACTGGAGTACTTATTTACTGCAGCTGTTCGGCCAGAGTCAAGAACCGAACTGGGACATGGAGAGGGGTGTGATGGGTAAGATGCAGCCTTCACATTCACCAAGTTCTCAGCTCATAAGTAAAGCATACAAGCAACTACATAACTCGAATCTAATCTGTGAAGAGTAAGCCGGGAAGCCATAGAAACCTATAGGATTGACATCTAATGTGAATGCTCAGGAGCAGGAGAAGTTTGAATCACAGAAGGATCCCAAGGGCATTGATGGTCTTGGATACAATGAAACCTCTCCTGATTCTTCCGCCATAAGTTGGAAGAACTGTTCATTTTTACGAACCCCCATAGCTCTTCATCGCTCATTATATATGATTTAGACTTATATTATCCATTCTCTCAGATGATCAACTCTTCACAAGCATTGCTCATTTATCTTTGCACCAACCACAGCAGTAGCAGGTCAAGAGGCAAACACTGAGCCTTAGCACATGTTTGGTTGATGGGTCAATGGGCAGATGAATGAATGTGTGTATGAATGGGAGGTCATAAGAGAAACAAATCATATTATAAGAAAATCTTCTGGCTCTCTGTAAGTCATTCCATCTAGTGGTGGCCCAATTCTGTGGTTCCAAATCTGGCAGCCCATAAAGTGTACCTAGGGAGCTTTAAACATACATATTCCTGGGACCTACTGCCTTTGGATATTCTGATTCAACACATACAGGATGCAGCCCAGTAATACATATTTTAATAAGCTCCCCAGAGGATTCTGAAACATCTGGTCCAAGGGCCAATGCGTGGGGATTATACGTCTAACTCACCTGAGTGTCACATGGCTTCATATTTGCAGGTGTTCTGTTTGTTTCTTTTCATGAGTGGTTCAAACCATCCAGATAATCTGCAAGAAGAAAATACTCCTATGACTTGGAAAAATCCACAAGGAGCTGTACAATAGTTATATAATGTACTGACATGTATTAAGTATATAATAAGTTTCACACATTTTGCTAAGTGCTTTCATTTAGCACTGCTCATTTAATCTTATCAGCAACCCTAATTAGAGGTTTTTAAACCATTTTATTGAGATATGATTGACATACAAAAAGCTGCATACATTTAATGTATACAACTTGATGAGCTTGGAGGTAAATATACTTGTACAACTGTGAAGCCATCACCACAATGTACACCATAAACATATCCACCACCTCCAAAAGTTTCCTCCCACCTTCTTAATAATAAATTATTTGATGTGATAAAAATATTTAACATGTGATCTACTATCTTAGCAAAATTTCAAGAATACAATACAGTACTATTAACTATAAGAACTGGTATGGTTTGCATCCTCCAAAATTCATATGATGAAACCCTGTTCCCAAAAGTGATGGTATCAGTAGGTGGGATCTTTGGTGGTGATTAGACCATAAAGGTGGGAAGTTTGTGATCCCCTTCCTTACTATAATAAAAATACCATAGATTGAGTCACTTAAGCAATAAACATTTATTTTTTACGGTTCTGGGAGCTGGGAAGCCCAAAATTAAGGCACCAGCAGATTCGGTGTGTGGTGAGTTCATAGCTAGCCATCTTCGCGCTGTAACCTCACATAGCAGAAGGGGCAAGGGAGCACTCTGAGGTCTCTTTTCTAAGGGCACTAATTCCATTCAGAAGAGCCCCACCCTCATGACCTAATCACCTCCCAAAGACCCCACCTCCTAATACCATCATAGGAGGTTAGGGGTGTAACTTGTGAACCTTGGGGAGGGGAAGAAGGGATGGGGAGCACAAAATTCAATTCATTGTAATACGTTATATCCAATGACCTTCAAAAGCTCACTGCCCATCACTAAACATTTGACAGGCCCAAGTCTCCCTTAAAAGAAGAAAAGAATTTAGAAAGTATATCCAAAAGAAGGAAAACAGACTCAGACATAGCTCTGCAATTGCTTTGAGAGGCATAGTCTATAATGAGTCACACCAAGCAAACAAGAATTCTGAAAGAGCCAACGTAATTGGTTTAAATTGTGGTTCCATCACCTGTAAGGTGTGTGACATTGGGGAAGTTACCTAACCTCTCTAAGCCTTGATTTCCTCGTCAGTAACATGGGATAATCATAGTACCTCTTTTACTATTTAGGTTGTCGTGAAGATTAAGCAAGATAGTACAAATAAGTACAGGTGGAAATCATATTAATAACAATAATATAAATAAAACTATTATATGTTTATTATGTGGTGTCAGATATTGTTCTAAGCAATTTATAACACCCCCCCTCTCCCCGCCAATAAAAACAAATCTATACCATCCTAAAAAGGAGACCTCTCTCCCTCTTCTTGGACCTCCAGTGATGGGTACCCATTAACTTCCAGACTCTCTCTCTAGAATGTAATCTTTGCAGAGGTGGAAGTCATCTCTTCTCATTTACTGTGGTACCCCAGACCTAGATATCTTTTCTCAAATAGTTTTTTAAGAATCACATCAATGAGATGCATAAAGGATTAACCATTCTATAGGGTTGCCATTGTTATTAATAAAAACAGTTAACATTGAGCATATATAATATTAATAATCAATTAATGATAATAGCTGAATTGATTGAGCATATGGAGCATATTACTCTACAGGGATGATCGCATCTCAGCCTCAGGGAAACCCAATGTGATATGTACTACTCTATTATCACTTCTGTTTTATAGAAATATATACTGTGGCACAAAGAAAAAAAGCTAAGGAACCTGTCCAAATCCCCAAACTTTGTTACATAGTAGAGCAGGAATTTCCACCAACCAGTCCAACTCTGGCATTCATGCTCTCGCAATACCATATTGCCTCTACGGGATGCAACACTGGAAGGACCCCAGCAGTTAGCATCCTTCACTTTGCAGTAATCTGCTTTTCATCAAAATCTTTTTGCTTTATCCTGAGTGAAGTGCACATAGCTAGATCTTTAAGGGCCGGCACATCCTGGGGCCCGTCATATATTGTCACTGAGCATCCTGGATTCCACGTTAAATAAAGGATGATGCCCTGCAGTTCAGGTTCTGCACAAACGTGCCGATGATGGGTTGCTGGTTAGCATGTCAGCTGAAGGACAATATATTTTAATGCAAATGCAATGAGCTGGAACGACAGCATTTTCTTCAACAGCCTTAACTAGGTTAGCATGACCTCCGAGAGGGACCAGAATTCTAACAGCCAAATTAGAATAGAAAGTCTTAGGGAGATTTCTATGCTAATCAGCCATGTTTTACTGGAACGATTATGTGCAGCACAATGGCCATTTGCCAGTTTCAGCCAGGGCATCATTTGGTCAGGTGACCGACAGAAAATGATGACTCAGAAAGTGCTGGGGAGGCCAGAAAAGTTGTGGCAGAGCTGAGATGAGAATACTAGGACCCCAAAGAAAGAAGATTTTTCTTACAGGGATTCTAGCACCCATCATGCCTGCTCTGCGGTTTGTTTGTGCTGCAGTAAAAATCCTCTGTTTGAGAGTTAATAGGAGCCATGTACCTCTGGACCCTGAAAACAGGGACAAGAAGGAGAGAAAAACAAGAAAATGGTTCTGTCCAGGCTGGGGATTTCCCCTTGCACCTAATCTTTGCTCTTAGCATGCAGACCTTGTGTTCCATGGAAGTAAAGGGGAGACACCATCTTCTGTGACCCGGGCCAGAAACAATCTCGTCATCCCTTACATTTGTTTTGTCTTGGAGTTTAGGGAATTGACAGAAGCTGAGCTGGTTAGACACAGAAGCTTGTACTGACTAAAGCTTAGAGAAACAATCAAACCTGATTTTCTCTACTCTTCCCCATGTGTGTCAGAGTCAACGACAATCAGAGAAGGAAAGGAAGAACTAAAGATGGACCACAGTGCTCCTCGGCACAATGCCATCTGAACCGATTTTTAATGGTTTTCAAAAGATACCTTGGCACCCCCTCAGACATACTGAATCATAACCACAAGGGGAAACAGAGGAGAAAGCATCTATATTTTTAAATAAGCTGTCCAGGTGATTCCAATGCAGAACCGGGTTTGGGAATCGCTTCCTTACATCATCATCACACAGAGGAAAAGCACTGATGCTCTTCTGGGTCCCTACTGCCCAGCGTCCAGGCTCTAAATGCAGAACCAAGAGCTGTGATCCAAATAACATAGCTGTTCTGCATGTTGACATTGACCCCAAACAACATTAAAGTCATTAATATTCACCTAGCACTTGATGTGTGCCAGGAACATTTACACAGATTATCTTGTTTCAGTCAAAGGTTAATGTCGTCTTAAATATTTAAAAATCTGATGTTTATATACGTTACTCTCAGTCAGAAATGTTTAACAACAATAACATTATATGTAATTGGATCATACAATTTTGTTCACACTTCAACCTGGATGAAGATGGAAAATAAATTTATTTTTCTTGCAACTGAACTTTCATTTCTCTATAACTTCCATCTGACAGGAAAATGAACTAAATGATCAATCTAGTTCAAATTCTGTCTCTTCTTATTATCTAAATTGCCACTTTAGGTACTGTCAGTCTCCCTAGAATAAGAATTATTTTAATCTCTCAAACAACCTCTCACTGTTTCTCCACCAAGATGAATTCTGGGTAAAAGGAAAGCCTGGGGAGAGAAAGGGATGTGTGATTTAGTGCATTCAAGGTGATAGGCGGGGTAGTGGGATGGCGGCCTGCCTATCCTGGTCCCGGGATCACATCCCCCATCCCCCTGCTTTCTCCCTGCCCCTCTGGCCTGCACAGCAGAAATGGAAGCTGGAATGACAGTGACTCTCATCTGCCCTCCTGCCTCCACCAGAGGAGACCCTGGCTATCCGGGCCTCACCTCGCCTGCTGCCAGCAGCATAGATTTCTCTACGGTTTGGCTAGGAACTCCACTCTCCCCACCTGGCAGGTCTGATCTGCTGCCTTTACTGCAGGGCCACCTTGTCCAAAGCACCGTAACCCACGTTGGCAAGATCCCAAACGCACTCAGGTGTCTGGATCAGCCTATACCACGCAGGACCAGCAGGTCCATCTCGTGCTGCAGGCAGGTGAAGAAGCACATCTACTCTCAGTCTTGCCCTCATTTATCTTGTGAGCCGCTGCTTCCTGTGCCAAAGCCAGCACAGGGATGAGAAAATCGGGGCTGTGTCTCTTTGCTCTGCTCTCCCACTCGCTTCTGCCTCCTTCCGCTTCCGCTTCCCACCCCCTGTGAAGTCAAGAGGGGCAGGCTCTTCACTTGGAGACCTTCCTTAGACAACACAGCAACCCCCTCTCAGAACTGGAGTCTGGTTTCTCGGGGATGTTCTTTTTGGTCTGTATCCCCCCTCTGGCACTCCTAACCTCGCTTTTCTTTCTCTAAGCAAAAGAAACCTCCAGCCAACTAGGGCAAAGCTCATGTAACTGGGAAGACGAATGATAAAAATATGAACATTTTAGAAAATATCACCCCATTGTATATGTTTATGATTTCAAAATGAGTTTTACTTTGCAAGGAAGGCAAAATAGGAATTACTATAATATCTCCATTTTACAAAGGAAGACACTGAGAGACAAATGATCACATGATTAGTAAACATTCTAGAATACTGTCCTTTACTGAGAGCTGTCTTCTTTGTATGATGCACATTACTTTTCTTTGTTTGGTGGTACTTTTTAGGCAATGCTTTCTTGAGTAATGAGTCCCCTTAGCCAAGTCCCACATGGGTGGTCCTATCACATTAGCTACCTATTCAAACCCTACTGCCTAAAAGACTCACGTCAGATACCACCTCTCCCGTATCAATCCCACGACTTTGCTCTACTTTGAACCCTTTTGAAGGTGTAGTCCATACAACATTATATGACACAGAATTCAATACCGCACTGCCTTATATTGCTTTCTAGGTTATCTATCATCT